TGAAAGCTTTTCCTAAGTTCAGGAACAGGACAAAGAGGCTCACTCTCACCACTTCTATTCAGCATAGTATTGGATGTCCTAACCACAGCAACTAGGCAAGAAAAACAAATGAAAGGCATCCAAATTGGAAAAGAAGTAAAACTGTCATAATTTGCATGTCATCAAAACCCTAAAGACTCCACCAAAAAACTATTAGAACTAATAAATTCAGTAAAGTTGCAGAATATAAAATCAATACACAGAAATCTATTGTGTTTCTATCACTAATAACAAACTATCAGAAATCAAGAAAACAATCCCATTTATAATTGCATCAAAAATAATTAAATACCTAGGAATAAATTTAACCAAGGAGGTAAAAGACCTGTACTATGAAAATTATAAGACATTAATGAAAGAAATTAAAGATGACACAAATAAATGGAAAGATATTCCATGCTCATTGATTGGAAGAATTAATATTGTAAAATGTCCATACTATCCAAAGCAGTCTACACATTCAATGCAATCCTTATCAAAATATCAATCTTTTTTCACAGAACTAGAACCAGTAATCCTAAAATTTGTATGGAATCACAAGAGACCCCAAATACCCAAAGCAATCTTGAGAAAGAACAAAGCTGGAGGTATTATACTCCTTTATTTCAAACCATACTACAAAGCAATTATAATCAAAACAGTATGGTATGGGCATGAAAATGGACACATCGATCAATGGAACAGAAGAGAGCCCAGAAATAAACTCACACTTGTATAATCAATTAATTTACAACAAAGGAGGCAAAGATACACAATGGGGAAAAAATAGTTTCTTCTGTACATGGAACTGGGAAAACTGGACAGCTACATGCAAATGAATGAAACTGAACCACTTTTTACCATATATAAAAAAATAAACTAAACAATCGATTAAAGATTCAAATGTAAGTCCTGAAACCAGGAAGTTTCCTAGAAGAAAACATAGGCAGTAAGCTCTTTGACATCAATCTGGATGACATTTTTTGGATCTGTCTTCCAATGCAAGGACAAGAAAAGCAAAAGTAAAGCAGTGGGTCTATGTCAAACTAAACAGCTTTTGCACAGCAGAGAAAGCCATTAACAAAATGAAAAGGCAACCTACTGAATGGAAGAGGACATTTGCAAGTGATATATCCAATGAAGGGTTAATGTCCAAAATATATAAAGAACTCCTATAACTCAATATCAAAAGAACAAATAATCCAATTTAAACATGAACAGAGGACATGAATAGACATTTTTCCAAAGGCTTACAGATAGCCAACAGGCACATGAAAAGATGCTCAACATCTCTAACCATCAGGGAAATGCAAATCAAAACTGAGACAAGATACCACTTCACATCTCTCTGAATGCCTATTATCAAAAAGACACAAAATAAATATTGGCAAGGATGTGGAAGAAAGGGAACCCTTATGTACTGCTACTAAGAATATAAATTGGTACAATCACAAAGGAAAACAGTATGGAAGTTCTTCAAAAAATTAGTAGAACTACTATACAATCCAGCATTTCTTCTGTATGTATTTATCCAAAGAAAATGAAAACACTAATTTGAAAAGATATATGCACCTCTATGTTCATCACAGCATTATTGACAATAGCCAAGATGTGGAAGCAACCTAAATATCCATCAATAGATGAATGGATAAAGAAGATGTGGTGTGTATACACATGTGGAGACATACATACACACTGGAATGTTACTTGGTCATAAAAAGATGAAATCTTGCCATTTGCAACAACATGGACGGACCCAGAGGACATTATGCTATAGGAAATAAGTCAGACAGAGAAAGACAAACACCATATGATTTTACTTATATGTGGAATTTACAAAACAAAACAAAACAAACAAACAAAACAGAAACAGAAACAGGCTCAGGGATCCAGAGAACAAACTGATGAAAGAGAGGAGGGGGGGATCAGGATGGACAAAATAGATGAAAGGGATTAAGAGGTACAATCTTCCAGTGATAAAATAAGTAAGACGTGAGAATGAGATGTACAGTATTGGGAATATAGTAACAAATATTGTAACAGTTTTGACGGATGGTAGCTAGACTTACTTGGTGACCCTTTTGTAATATGTATAAATATAGAATCACTGTGTTGTCCACGTAAAACTGATACAGTGTTGTATGTCACTTATCCTTAAATAAAAAATATAAATTAAAAAATTAAGACCAACCCCTCCCACAAAAGTATACATACAAAATCTTATTGGTACAGTTTGCTATGATTGTGTTTAACTGCAATATCTGTCTCTTCCTTTACATTTTCTATACCCTATCAGAGGAGAAGAGGCCCTCTTCCTTTTAAAGGTGAACACATGTATCAGGGAATTGCATCCCTATGTCTTCACCATACACAAGACATATCTTTGTCCACCATTGTCCCCTTCCCTTTATTTTGAGTTTCACTCTACTGTCTCCTTCCTCCCTTTGCATGTATGCTTACATGTACCATAGCCCCAAATGCTTCTTGCATTAATTTTTCCATCCATTTCCTCAAAGAAGTCCTTAACACCTACTACTTCATTATTCACTCATTCCTTAATCCCTCACAATTGACTTCCATCCCCATTTAAATGAAACTCATCTTTCAAAGCTCATGTGATACTGCATGCTTTGTGCTTCATTATACTTTGTTAAATGAATAAACAAGTGAATACATGACTTTCTCAACACCAACTCAATGATCTTTAATCAGTTTTCCTCCTCCTTGATACATGGTTAGTCAGGCCTATGACTCCGTCCCTGTTGTCTTTAACAGAATTCTGGTTCTTCTCTTATTCTGATGTTTCTTGTATGACACTTGACTGGCCACTTTTTTGGAAGCAGAGTTCCACTTGTTTAGTGGAGGACAAACTTAGGGTTAAAATCAAGTTCCTGATATTTCATAGCTGTTAAAACTTAAGACAAAGTGCCCCTTTCTTCATCCATAGAAAGGAGGTGATAATAGTGTTGTTCTAAAGGTTGATGTGATGCTTAATGCCCTTGCAAAGATCATAAGTGCTCCTTTAATGTTAGTATTTGCATTCCAGTGGCTGTAAGCTCCCTATGGGCAGTCTCCATGCCATTTTTTTTTTCCTTCCTATTCTTTCTGTCCTCAAAACCAGCAGTGTTGAGTTTGGGGTCCTTGAAAACTATTAGTTGTGAATGAGTGAGCAAATGCATTGTTCTCCTTCTCTTAATGGAGGATCTTTCCCAAAAGCTTGGCTTCAATTTCCTTCACCCTTTCCCTTACTGACCTCATTTAATCCCTGAGGACCTTTGGACCTCATTCATTTTTTCCAACCATCTTCATGTAGATCACCACCAAATCTAAATTGAAATCAGACTCAGCTTATTGTGACCCCAGATCCAGATTTCCTATCTTTAAGATAAGCCCCAAAATAACATCCTCAAGACATCTCTTTGATACCTTAAATCCCTATGTTTAAAAAAGAAAAAGTCTTCTTTCCTTCTCTTATTACTCATTCATATATATTCATTATATATTTACAATTATATATATTTATTTATTATACATGTACATTTAAAATAGCCTCTGATATGAAAATATATGCCTAACCTGTGTATTTAATTTATATATACACATATAAAATATATGTATTATATATTTGTAATAACCTCAAAAGAATTCTACCTGCTTATTTGTTTATAGGCTTTAAGATAATGCCCCCTGCCAATACTATTCATCCTAATTTGTACCTTGAGTTATTAGCTACCTGCCTCACTGAAACCAAAAACAATAATGTTAATTTTTAAAAAATCAGACTCCTTAGTCTGCTAGTAATTTGACCCTTATTTTAATAGAAAACTTTATTTTATGTAAACAATATCAATTTATTATGCAAGCAACATGTAGATACATTTTTATTGTTAAAAAAAAAAAGCAACACAGAAGTGTAAACTAAAAGCAAAATCCCCACTCCACCACTGATGTTTGCTTCATTCTTACTGTTCTTTACAGAGATGATTTCTATTATCAGTTCAGGATAACTCTTTTATAGACATTTTACCTACATTAATGAACACATGCATGCCTGATTTTTACCTTATGTAAGTGTACATTACTGTATTTATTAATGTGAAGCTAGAATTTTCCCCTTATTAATATGTCTTGGAGGAGTGCCTATTTAGATCTGCCTCTTCCTCGAGATCTACTGCATAGTATTGCTTCATACAGAAGCAATATTTACACAGATTTTATTGATGAATCCTTAAAAGCTACCTTGCTATTTATTTCCCATCCCTCTCAGATGCGTAATCTTTTAACTGAATGAGAAAACAGATTTCATACTTTTCTCTATTGGCCTCTGTGTGCATGCTATTCTTGCTATTCCTTCGAGTGAAACTTCTACTTATCCTCCAAAACCCAGTTCAAATGTAAACTTATACTTGGAGTCCTCTATTGCTATCTCAGGCTTAAAGTGTTTTTTTGTTTGTTTGTTTGTTTTTTAAGGTATCCATGATTTATTGATGGTTTGCTATGTGCTAAGAAATTTGTAAATATTGTTTTTTTTATTTTTTTATGATGTTAATCACCATACATCACATCATTAGTTTTTGATGTACTGTTCCATGATTCGTGGTTTGCGTATAACACCCAGTGCTCCATGCAGTATGAAGAGATTCCTCAATTTTGAGGACAGGAACTGAGGTTTTTATACTCCCACAAGGCTAGACATAGCATACTATGTATGGTAGATTCTGAATACACATATTGTATAAACAAATACATGATTTTTAAAACTTTTTGTGATCTATGCATCAATAGGCTATAAGCACCTTCAAGGTAAAAACATAGCTCAGCGTGCCTTGACTAATGCAGATATTTGATGATTTGCATGCCAGTGTTATATCAGCTGTACTGTGGACGTGGACAAAGATGGAGTTCTTCCTTTATCATGTTGTATCAACAGTACCCACCAGTCAGTACAGAAAGCTGTTATAGAGAAATAGGGATGAACCTACCAGGATCTCCAAGAGGATTTTGAATTGAGCTGGATAATCCTAAAGGAAAAGAAATTAAAAAGGATTATTCACCTGGATATCCATTGTTTTTGTATTTGTTGTTTTGCTTTGTTTTTGCGTGTCCAGAATCCTTTCCCCTTTCTTTCAGCAAAGAGAACCCCACTTTTCGGTGAAGGACCCACTGCATATAGCTTGAGTGGAATGGCCTTGCCCACCCCTCTCCTATGCACAGTGACATGGGAACCTACGTTCTCTGTGGGTTAGCCACAGCAGTTTGTTGTGGGATGGTTATGAGAGTCAGGTTGTACCAATGAGGATGTCCCCTGTGACTTGAGATAAGCGTGCTGGGAGTAGAGGGTTCTCTCCTCTTTTGCGAGGTGGAAAGATAATGTAGGCTTGTGACTGACAAAAGCCCACTTTCCCACCATGGGTAAGAAGTCTGAAAGTAAAGCCTAAATCAGGGCCAAACAGCTGAGAAAAGAAGGTATAGACAGGACACTTAATTTGTCATTTGGATCTCTTGATTTACTTACTCCTGAAGCTGGTCTACTCCTGGACATCCTAGATAAGTAAGTGAGTCTCCAAATTCCCTTTACCTAAGCTAGTTGAATTTGTATGCTTTATAATGGAGAGAGACTCAGAAAATGATATAGAAGATTTAATTAATTTTAAATATTTCTTCAGACTCTATTTTCTTCCCATCTCTTTTTAGAGGATGTATGGTGATGAAATTCTCTAAATTTAATTGTTTAGTCTCTGCTTTCTAACTCCCAAAATGTTCACAGAATGGAAATGTTTAATTTTGTGAAGGTATGCCAAAAATGATCTACAAAAATGGCTTAAAATTGGAGGCTGGATCTTATGCTAAAATGACTGGTTAGAAATCAAGAAACTGAAATGTGGTTTCTGCTGACCTGGTCTTTTATCAGTTTTATTCAATTTACAACAGTGAGAAGAGGGGACAGGAACTTATATATATTGACTACTTACTCAATTCCACTATTTCATGAAATTTACCCCTTTCATGTAAACATTGTTATCCTGATTTGAAAAAATTTTAAAAAAATCCAAATGATTTTCAGAGTTCCAGTCTTGCCCGGTGTCCCCTATCTGGTTAAGTTTAATAGATTTAAGATTACAATCCAGTTGGGTCTGACTTCTAACCTGTCCTTCTTCACCGTCTGGAATGCCATAAAATTAGGATGGATGTTGACTCTTTTCTCTGTTCTTAAAGCATATTTCCAACTTTTAGTCAGCTGTCTTGACCTTCATGGCTTGGTATTATTGTTTTGGGGAAAGAGCAGTCATTTTGGAGGGTGAAGAATATTGCTATAGAGAGAGTACAAGATTTGAATTTGGAGACGTGAATTCTAGTCCTGTGATTTTTCCACTACAGAGCATTGTGATTATGTGGCTCAAGCTTTCTAAATCTTGGTTTCCTCTTCCATCAAGTAAAAGATAAGGGCCAATCATCTCTCAGGTCTATGTCAGCACCTTTCTACTGGTAAATGCTTCCCTAGAACCCTGTACTTCTCCTGTTAGAGATCGGATCACCCAATGATGGCTAGATGCAGTAATGTCTTGTTCAACTCAGTATTTCCCAACAGTGAGCCCAGGCTATGGCAAATAGTAGACGATCAATAAGTATTTGTTGAATAAATAGATGAGGGAATGAAGTCTATTAGCTTTTGTGTACAGAATACTACTTTTTATTTTGATTTTTCCCCCAAATGACCAAGAGAGTGATATTTGAAATTCTTCCAATTTTGCAGGTGAGAGGTAAAAATAGGTTAGTGATAGATTTGAGTACTACATCAGCATAGATTTTAAAGAGGACTTTCTTTTAATTCAAAGCTCAATATAAGCCAAGAGCTAACTCGAATTTTTAAAATAAAAGATATACTTTAAAGTGTAAAATGGTCATTTTAGGTGGCCATTGTAATTCAGCTTTTAAGGCTTGGTAACTAAGCCATCCTGGTGAACCTTCTGTGTGAATGAAGCCTTCCTTAATCGGCTTTTCCTATATTATTTCATCCTGCGAAAGAAAAGCAGTAGCTAAGCCAGAAGCAAGCAGGATAACAGAAAAAGGAGTCTGTGGCCAAAGCAACAGAATTACTTTTTTTTTTTTTTAATTCTTTCACTGTGTTTGTGAAGAAGGAAGAAACATAATTTTTTGTCTTTGTTTAGACATTGAACAATACAAATCACAAGAACATATATTTTTGACATACTATTTTTTTTGGTGTTCTTTGGAATTTGGACCCTAATTAAAAAATATGTGTTTCCTAGCCCTTCTTACTGTGAAAATCCTTGGCAATATAAACAGATGCACTGGTTGGCTTTTAATTCTGACACCAGACTGTCTGAAATAATAGCTCTGAGAAAGTGTGAATTCTTTCATTCCTCAAGCTTTAATTATAAGTACTTAATTTGTTTGTCTTTCTATTGCTGACTGTCATACCAATCTGGCTTATCTTTCATCTGGCTAAACATGGTGCACCTCAGAAGCCCCTCGTTTTGAAAAGTTTATTCTACATGGGAAGATGGAAACAAGCTAAAAGTTTGAGTTATTTTCATCCTTCAGGGCACCTCACTGTAATTTAACAATTATGATATTAAGTGGTATTCTAAAAAGTTCACTAATATAGGCCTGGAAGATGACAGAATTAGGATCTTGATAAGCAGTTTGGAAACACTGAATATTTCTCATAAAAGTTTGAAAAATGAGCCAAGTTAATAGCTTACTAACTCATCTTGACCTTTCACAGCCAAAGATGTTCTCATTTTTTGTGTCCACCATTTTTTACACTTCGAAACCAATTTGCTGTCATAATGTTTTTAGCCACAGGACTGACTGTCATGGTATTGACTGTTGTAATTAGATGAGGTACCACATGGCGCATTAGCGGGAAAAGTCATCAGTTGCTGGGAGTGGGGATATTTTGGAAATATTGCTCGGTCTGATCTTCCTGAATACTGTCATATTCCACTTTTAAAACTTGACTGTGGAGAGATGTGTTTTTGTTTTCTAAGGGCAAAAATAAAATCCAAGAAAGGCAAGTCACTGCTGGAACTCATGATAAATATAAGAAAGGCTCATGCTCTTCATCCAGTTGGTTTCTTTCCAAGTATTTCTCTGTATGTACATTTGCATTTTGAGATACTCTCCCCCATTATTGCGGAGCCTAATACGAAAGATGTTTATATCCCCTTTGTAAATATGATGGAAAAAATAAATACAAATAAAATGTATTAGGGATTACACAGCCCTTTATATTTATTATTTCAGTCCCCATAACAATCCTCTAAGTAATTATCATTATTATCATCCTCATTTCAGAGGTGAAATTGAGATTTAGTGTGGCTAACTAACATACCAAAGTTCCCAGAGCCAGGAAGTTGTGGAGGCTGGGATTTGAACCCAGGAGGTCCAGAATATTTTATCACGTCCCTGCTGCTGCTGGACATTAAGATACCAAATGCTTTACACACATGACCCCATTTAATCCTTCCTAAAACCTATCAATATGGGGAACGTGTACCCATTTTACAGATGGAAAAACTGAAATTTTGCCAAAGTCATTTGCCCCAGCTCACTCAGTTTGTAAGTAGTGGCAATGGGCTTAGAACTGAGGTTTTCCTGATTCCAATAAGCCGGTGCTCAAAACCTTCATTCTAAACTGTATGATAACATTTGTTTAGGGCTTTAGAGGTTTATTACCTAAATCTGTAGATAGCACCAAAAAAAAAAAAATCCTTCTGTGTGCAATGACTGAATAAAGTAAGATGCCACTAAGACTTGAAATAAGGGTAAGCGGCAATGATGTGTGTTCCTGTTTTTGCCATTTTTCTGACAGTGATGAAATAGAGTGTTGGGGGATATGTTTCTCCTTTATACTCCTGAATAGAGGGTAACATGTCTTCAGGAACGGTGGGAAAAATACCTGGGGACACTCTCTTGCTCTTTTTGCATAAATGTCCACATTTTACTTTTTCTCCCCATAAACAGAAAATTTGTTTATGTAGAATTAGATTTTTGAGGATATGAAATTTCAGTATCCCTTAGGTTCCATGACCATGCTGTGGGGCAATAACTTGGACAGCAATGACAGCTTCTAAGTTGTTTCCTGTTTTTCTTGGTCTCATTGCAGTCCTTGCCAGAGCTTCCCTCCTTCACTGCTGCTGCATTAGTAATGCAAAATGAAATTCATTGTGCCCATTATATCTGTTAAATGGTTTCCATTTTAACTTGAGAAAAATGTATTGACGTTCATGTGTTTGGCATGGAAAATGTGTGTATCTATCGAAGATAGCAACTTGTCTGTTGGAATTACAGTGCATTATGTATAATGCTGCTTTTAGCCGTGCATGTACATTTCCTGGAATCTTATTGTGTCAGAGCTTGGAAAGTTTACACAAGCATTGGTAATCTAATTTTTGTCTGGTGGGTGGCTGTGGAAATATGGAGTATTTGAAAAAGCAAATGTCTTGGCCATCTGTGTCAGGGACTGGTTTGGTGGCAGGGGTGTCTAGTCAGGTGGGGTAAAAAGCACCCATCGAAAAATAAAGGTTTAAAAATATTGTCCCAGGCCTAACCTAAATATTAATTTGCCCAGGAGCAGAAAGATATAACAGTAATCATGACATGGTTTTTACCACATTTGTGGTTATTATTTTTAGGAGTTCTAATTGTAAGGTTGAAGAATATGTTTTATCTTTCTCCTGCCTCTCAATGATAATCCTTCTCTAGACTACATTGCTTCCCATGTCTTTTGTCTTCTGCAGACATGAGTCTTTGGCTCATGAGCATCTTGCTAAGGTCTGTTGAGGATTAGGGGCTGTGACACAATTTTCTTGCTGAGTCTTTTTATTGGGGATTTTTCAGTTGGTTTGTCTTGGAGGTCTTTGAAACGTCTCCTATCAAGCAACGATTTTCATTTTCTTTGTCCTCCTCAAAATTGGGGTTGTATTTTGCTCAACTGTTCCTGGGGTCTAGGTAATGAATTGTATTATTTACTAGGCAAGTGTGAAATTCTTTG